GGGACGAGTGAAGATGTGCCACACCTGCGGAGGGAAGTCCAAGCAGCCGGTACTCATCCAGCCAGCTGAGGCTGCTGGAGACTGATTTCTGAGCCGACTGGAGGTGCTGAGTCACGGGGTTCTTCACCTCACCTACAATGCAAAAGAGATGTCTGCAATTTGCCACATCCGCAAATACCCCATGCACTCGCACCTGTGAGATAGTACTCAGCGAACCCGTAACTGCTAGAGGTCTGCCCAGCCGTCCTTAGCAGTGGATTAGCGTCTGGGTCTTTCAGGCCTTGCCATGCCGCCATGTTGTCAATTTGCAATCGAGCTTCTGTGCCGTCAGTTCGAGAACCTGCTGGTCTGGGCCACCTTCATTTAATGCAGTTCCGAAACTCGTCGACAGCTGTTTGTTAAGGTTTGCCAGCAGCCAGTGCGCTTCGGGTGCTTTTCGACAGTGGGCTAGCTGCGCAAACCCCGCCTTCCGCCCTGCAAAATCCGACGATGCTGCCGGCAGTCGACAGTTCGACAGTGGCGGCGACGCACAGTAGCAGGATAGCCACCGAGGCACACACAGGCAGAACAAGAGTCAACCTGAGCTGCAAGTGACCTCCAGCACTCTACCCGCCGAAAAAACCCCAAGGTCTCGATGAGATCGGCCGAAGCACACTCTGGGCGAAAGCTTCTTCATGAGGTGGTTGTTGACCGTGGCGTTTTTCGAGGCCAGGAAGTAGATGCCCACCTGGGGCGTGGCCAGCTCCGCTCCGCTCCGCAGCGCCGCGCCGCAGCGCCTGCTTCGTCCCTTTGAGGCGCCAACCGCCAAGCCACAGACCAGCACCGCAATGAGGCTCAGCCCTGCTAACAAAGGGAGCCTCGCAAAAGGACTTTGAGGAAACGACGCCGACTTTCCACATGACGCATTCCGTGACCAGCGGCCATCCAGACATCTCACTGATTTCAAAGGCCGCATTCTGCAGCAGCCCTGGCAGGTCCTGCAAAGCTTTGACCTGCGACACGTCTGCGACATGTTTGGATGGTATCACCAACTTACGGACCGAGCTTAGGACCGTGAGGCCGGCTTCCGTCTTGGCAGAAGCGATGTGCCCCTTCGCTTGCGAGACGGAAGATCCGAGCATCTGCTCAATAGCAGGAGGGCAGATCTCAAAGAGCCCGTCCCTTGGTACGGCCGGGCGCATGCCAATTCTGCCATGCATGGAGGTAAACATGGCACCGCATGTTTGTTGGAAATGCACCCAAAACAAAGCGCTTGCTGACCAGACCAGTCTCAGGTCCTTCTTGACCGTACCCGCTGCTCCCACCACGCCTTGCACCTGAGACTTGGAATCTCGAGCACAAGACTCCGACACCCGACTCTGACTCTGTCTTTTCTGGACCTTCTCTGCGCAAAGACTTCCAAGTTCTCGCACCATCTCTCTGTACGCCCTCCGTACTGGGCATCCCCCTCTACGCACGGCTCATGTGCCCCAATGTTTGTTTAAACATGCAGAAGGCGATGCACCCCCACATCTCCACACTTCACAATCGCACACGAGGCAGGAAATTCATGCCAAGATCCACATGCTTCAGACACATCCTCGTCTGACATGCATATCGGACACAGTTGAAGCATGTTCTTATGCATGTGTATTATACATATATATATATATATATGTACGTACTTATTTCTTCACGCATCTGCGGGCCGAACCCAGGTCAGGGCACTAGCACGTCAAAACCCGCCCTCGTCTGCATCCATCTGTTTATCCGTTCAATAATTTCTCCGTCCGCCTTTCTTTCCGCAGGACCTGAGGCACGTTCTGGGCCCCCCACGCACAAGCACCTTGTTTTTCTCCGTCTGTCTAGCTCTTTCATTCTCTTTCTCTGCCGTCTTTTGCACCAAGGAGCGTCTTGCACACATGTTGCTATGTCCTGAGAGAGCGTCATGACTTCCTTGGAAAAGTCATGTCACGTCTTTGGCTGGAGTGGCTCGGCGACATCGTAACGGTCACTAACAGGAATATGCCGCAACTTCTTCAAGCAAGATGCAGCAGAAGCCCAGGCAAATGCACTGCCACCAAAGCCAGACGAGAAGTTCACGGCACAACTGAGAAGCATTATCGCCTGGGGCAGAACTAAGGCGGTGCCTAGCGAGAACTGCAATGACATGCAGGATCGGCAGGATTGAAGTCTCGGTCTGCGTAAGGCAAGCGCTGTTAAACTTGCGGCCACCGCGAAAGCACCCCAATAGAGATGTGCTTCCTGCAGGTGATGTGGTTGCCACCGGCTGCAGCAGGAGTCGCAAGATCTGTGCACTGACCATGCTTGTGGGTATGTGTATGTGGTACGTGTAATCCGTGTATGCACGCATGCATGCACACATCCATGCATGCCTGCAACATGCATGTGCGAATTTGCTGTGGTCTCGGCCCGCGTAGTAGAAAAAACCCTGGCACATCATGCCACAGGGCACGACTCACTCCAACTACCAGCCTGGATGCCAGGGGCAGACGGCATTTTCAGCCCGAAGAAAGGTCGTGGGACTGCATCATTGGCGTACACCTAAACTTTTGGCAAGTCCTGGACTTCCACCCACTCTTCAGAGTAGCCATGCAAGTATATGCAATCATGGCACATAGATCAGTGCAGCGCTGACTGCCAAGCCGGTCAGCAAGCAAAGAGCCTGCCTCAAATTCGTAGGGTAGCTTGTTTTCCTGAAGACTTCGATGTTGAACGCGCTGAATGAATTGCAGTGACGCTGCCACAGGAAGCCGCCACCGGCAAGTAAGAAAGGCCAAAAGCCTTCCAGGGTAAACTGCTCCACCCAGGGCTCGCTCACACCTCGGAGTGCCAGAGGGGACTTAGCCGGTTTAGCTCAGGCATGCTCAGGTGGAATGTGCAGGTGGATGCCTGGTTATACATTGCCTGACAGATGCTTGCATGGTGTTGCACTTTCCAGGTATCAGCACCATCTGTCTTTTCGCACACGATTGCGGGCTTCCTGAAGCAAATTCACGGTTCTGTTTGCCCTTCAGGCAGCGTCAACGGCGCGAGTGATTCCTCGTCGGGCCTCAAGATCCTACGCGGCCAAGAATCATTCGCAGGGCCTTGAGGAGTCTGAGCACCTTGTGATTGCGGGCCTCTCTCACGGACTTGGCCTTGAGGGCCTCGTGAAACCGGACAGGTCATGTAACTAGAGAAAGAACTTCGGCACAGTGGACACTTCTCGTCTCGCAAGGAGCGTAAGCAGGAGTGACAAACCGAGCAGTGGCGGCAGGGTAGCAGAACCACATTCTTGGGACGCGCATAGCAAATCATACAATCGCTTTCACCTGCATCTTCGAAGCCATAAATGCCCTGAACATCGAAGACAATGTTCGAATCGCCAAAGCAGAACTGTCGAAAGATTTCAGCTGTGTGGTAAGGCGAATTGCCCTCGTTGTGTGTTCTTGATTGAAACTTGACCAAGGATATCTGGCCTCTGGTTTCGAGCACGGAACGGCCTTGCATTGCATGCGCTGCGTTGCCAGACCCAGACCGACCCGACGACAGAACGACAATAGCAAGTGGAATGATTGCTGGAAGCTCTGCTGCATTTCCCGACTGCCCGGGCCGAAGCCAGGATGCACCCATGTCAAACTTCAACACGCCAGGATGAATCAAATCTCCAGCTGGTGTAACGTAGCGCTGTCCACAGCCGGCAGGCAAAAAGAAATCTCGCGACTGTGCAAAGAAAGTGCTCGAAGTAAAAGGAGGTTCTTCGTTTGCATCAGTTGCGGAAGGCTGGCTAGCAGTCCAAGTGCTTGCAGAATTCTCCGCTGCTCCGGATGTAGCTGCGCTTCCGAGTTCTTCCATCTCAAGGAGCGACCTAGTTGTCTCTGGATTGGCACATGCTGTTCGCCCTGTCCATCGCCCTCTTAGGCTTCGCAGTGCACTGCTTGTGCTGGCATGCCGCCTGGTCGAGTGCTCAGGTGCTTGGCTACGCTGCACAAACTCACTGCAAGCCTGTGCACTTAAACCCCAGTACAACCTCACACAGCAAGGTGCCGAAGCATCGATGTCGAATTCAACGCCGAAGCCCATTGGTCCGCTCCCTGAGTCCTCCTCACCTACCCACAAGCAGCTGATTGACTCGGGGTGCACATGGGTCGTGAGCTCATGCCTGGTCACTGGCTTCGGTGGCACAGTCCTTCGTAAGCGGAGTATTTGGTTGAAATGCTGACGGATCAGCATCTGGAAATCATTTACGTAAATGCTCATCGCTTCCAACTGCAAGGACCGTGCTCTTGACAGTCGGACATTCAGCTCGACTGCTCGAGCAAGTTGGTACACAACCTTCGCAACCCAGGCCGCGACCAGGGCGAGAATTCCGAACACGAACACATTGTGAAAGTCTCTGTGCAGCTTGTCTGGCTTTGGGGCCAACTCTGTGGATGCAAAAGCTCCACACAGGCATGCCGTCCAAGCTATAAACACATGAGCCCTGTTGCCCATGATGCGCTGGAAACTGCACCAGGCTCTGTGGATTAGGGCAACATGCTACGCGAGTGGCATTTTCTCCACTATCTAGGCCTCCAGCCAAAAGGCCTGCGGAAGCACAATGCGCTTCACTTGAAGATCTGTGTTATGACAACTTCTGAAAATCAGACTGAAACGCCCTAGCCAAGGCTCTTGGAGAGCTTGTCATGGCTGGAACCACGACGAACTAGGCCATGTCTGAATGTCGGATAATGTTGAAACCTACGTCCTGAGTACACTCTTTCATACTAGGCCGTGAGGATTTGCCAATTAGTTGTATGCTCGTCTGGGCCAGACCTTGCGAGATCCGTCATGAATCTGATTGAACGCTTTATTCTGTGCGGATATGAAGACCCGGTCAGGGGGTGACAACTTGCTTGTACCACCCGTTGGCGCATGTTCGGACCATTTCGCAACTTAAGCCAGCTAGAAACACCGAGCATCCAAGAACCGGATTCAAAGCAGTGATGGTCATCAAAGAAACTGAGTCAGAAGAGCGCCTGCAAGATTTCGGGCGCTAGCTGGTCCTGATAGTCGGAAGATGCGCGCGAAGCACCCAACACATACAAACACAGACGCACACAGAAAGCTCTATAACTTATACACATATATATATATATGTATAAAATACCAAAATACACTGCTATGTCTTATCTATGCGGCCACTGCGGTGTCCTGAGGCAGCTGTACCCAGACGGGAGTGTCCTCCCGTAGACAGATTTTGAGACAGTGTGCCCTGTAGCAAAGCGGCAATTCAGCAAAAAACTTCCAAGAGCGGCACCCGCGGCAGCGCCTTCGAAGACCTGAACACGGAAATGATCAGGCGCCGGCACTCGATGAGCAGGCCAAGAGCTGATTGCTGCTACATGCTGCTACTCCACTTTGCCACCGATGACATGTTGCCGCTTTGGCGATCCGCAACCAAAAGCCGGTAACAGACAGCTCGGGCGATAAGAGAGTCCCACCTGTTTGCCACAATCGGGCCACCCTTTTTCCCCTGCGCCTGTCACAAGGCTCTGGAAAGCTTGCCTATCCACAACAGGCGTGAGCCACAACAGCGCTCCTTGCCACCTTTGTGTCCACCTCCTGTGCGGGCTCGCCATTATCAAGCTATCTACAGGTTGATACTCCGGATTTCGGAGGTCTTTCTTAAACATCTGTCGGTCAACTCGTCGGTCCTTTCTTGCCAGGTTGAGGCAGAACCTTTCGTGGTGCTGGAGTCTCTACCTAGCAGACAAAGGCGGGCTCAAGATGTGCATTACGTATGACTGCGATCAACAGCAAAGTTCACTGCATGCGGGGTCGAGCGCAAAGCACCGCAACTGCCACCCGCAACTACTGTGGGTTGAGAGGGCTCAGGAATTTAGAACTCGACATGGGCCAGTTGAACAAAGCTGGCAACTCAGCACTTAACATCTTGGCCGCAAGTTCACGTGGCAGAACGCATGAAAAGCGGCTCCGCGTAGCGTAGATTGCACTCAGAGACGTCTGGCCTTCGGCTTTTTGAGAGCCTCGGTGCCAGAAGAGCAAGATGCAACAGCACTCTTCGATGTGCCTTTTTTCGCTCGACCATGCAAGCTTCACACACGTTTTTTGTTAGTTCGCATCCTGTTGTTGCCACTGATCAACCCTAGTGGTCATCACGGACCCTGAGCCTCAGTCCTTTAAAACTTCTGGATCAAAACTCCCAGCTCTCCATTTTTACTGATTCTCACTCCTTAGCTTGGCTCCGCGCCGGTTCCTCCACCATTGCCTCTGGAGTCGAGATGCCCTTCTGCTGCACAGCGCCGCAAGGGCATGCGGGGCACTAAGACTGCGGCACCAGGAGTCCCTGCCGTCTGGGCAAATTCTACGAAGTCGGGATACCTCCCACAAACCACCACATGCCCTTACCGGAACATGGCGAGTCGCATCCTAGCACTTCCACGAGTCAAGCATTGCAGCCGTGCTCCCCCCCTCGTAGGTTTCGTGCGCTGCAAATCGATCAAAGTCCCCGGAGCTGGCAACTAGTGCAACACCTTGTGACGACAAAGGAAGAAATCACTCGGACTGCAGTATACCGTCGTTGCAGAGTGGCTTAGCAGTCATGAAATAGCCGGCTGCAGGCTTGAAGGGCACAGCAGGACCAGACCACATCGCATCAACATTTCTCACTCGGGCCGCAGCTCAACGCGAGTTTGCAAGCCAGCCTTGGCAGGCAGTCACAGAGAGCAGCGAAGCGATGGCCAAGCGAAAAGGACAAAAGCCTTCAGGCATCGGCTCCCGCACCTTCCAGCCACCAGCAAGGCCAACTGCCCAGATGCCCTTAGCATCAAATCATGTCGAATCTATTCTTCCCCTTTTCGATCAGGCTGCGGCTGCCGAGGGCACACTGGCAACCTTGGAAGACAGGACATGCCCCTGGGAGTTAAGTCAGAGTTTGACAGTCTTGGAATCAGGCTGCATAGCAGTTCTCCTCACCTCCGGCCTGCTTGATGGCCTCCGCCATCTCCGGCATGTGCTCCTACAGGCAAAGTTGCGCATACTCCGCTTTCGTCACAAGAAGCGGCTTCTATATTGCGCCACGTTGAATCCACTGTCCCAGTCGGGGTCGTGGGTGAAGACGACCTCACTACCGACGTCGCCCAGCACCTTCTTTAGAGAAAGCGGCATTAAATCGTCAGGCAGCTGAAAGACCAGCTCTGAAATCCTAAACCGCCTAAACTCGACACATGCATGCGCATGCGCTGTCACATTTTAGCTGTTTCCAAGCGCGAGTCACATCATCGAGGAGTCTTTGGGCCCTGGTGCTTCTGCAAGAAGCCCGGGTGCACTGTGCATGAAGATGCGTAGGTCAGGGAGCTGACGTGATGTACACGAACAGCCAACTCCAAAGCAACCTTTGCATAATTGCGACGGCAGTAGGTCACCGCCTAGGACGTCCAAGCCGACCCTTCCACGGCAGGCTAACAGACCAGATACGTATCTAGGGACGGCGAGACAGTGGCGAAGAGACGCGCAGCAGGCTGCATTAGGGTTTTATCGGCCATGTATGTCCTGCAACGTTCAGTGAGTCTTGTAAGACACCCGATACGAGCACCCGCTGCACCTCACACGCCAATGCAACAGGTCATACGTGTAAAGACTAGTGCTGTCATTGGCTGCAGAATATGTACATGAGAAAGGGCAAAGAGAGACGGCAAAACAATTGCTAACAGCAGCTGTCGATGCGTTCTGTACAGTTGCTCGCTACCTGTGTGCGCTTTTGCATCACAGGTGCATCTGAAACCAGGCGTGTTTTGCCGGCTGCTTGATTGCACAGTCTCACGATGCATGCTGGCCTGGCTGCCGCAGCACCACACGGCTGATGAATCCGATAGGGCCGTTTCCATGCCCCTAGGTGCGCTGAAAGTTTGTTGCCGTTGTCACGATACCACCAGATACCTGCCAATGCCATTCAAAACTCGCCGAGGTGGGCCACATAGACTTCTCTGACTGATAACCATTAATAACACGACATGGGGGTTCCTTGTTTGGGGAGTCCGCCCCTTTCCAAGTGCTTTTGTCGGTTCCAGCGCCAGACATCAACTTGGCATCAGTAAGAATGGGATGACCTTCTATCGACAGGCTGTACATACAAAGGTTGGGTGTGGGCAATCTGCAGGCAATACATAAATACGTCATATCTTTTATCCCGCAATACCCGCCCGCGCCCCTGGCTATACACCAAAACGGAACGCCTTGAAGTAGGGGGAACTACTTCCGGGCAGACACCGAACAGCGTTTAAAAAAGTGCTCATTGTGGCATGCGCTGGCTTCCGAATGGCTGCTCGCGACGTTCAGTTGTTTCAACAAGCACCCCACATTACGGCGATGTGAGTAGACATGTCCCGCTGTTGGAAAATAATGCTCACGTAAAAAAATTCGGAAACAGCAGGTGTTCAAATATAGAAATGAAATCAACTGCAAAACGATGTGTTTATACAGAAAGTTTAGCACTGGGAAAATCTGTCGCCTACTAACTCTGGAAATGCAGTGATGTGTGCGTTTCAAAGGTGTTTTGGAGGCACCCGGGGGGATCTAGAAGTCTGGGATGCGTTTGAGGCTTTCGAAGTGTTTTAGAATCCATTTGAAGTGCATTTGGGGTCCGTTTAGGCCCAGAAACCCTAGCCCAGAAACCCAGAAACCGTGAACTCAGAAACTCTAAACCCAGAGCCCCAGAACCCTTGACCCCAGAACCCCTGAAACCCAGAAACCCCAAACCCGAAATTCCTGAAACCCGAAACCCAGAAACCCTGAGCGTTCAAGGGTTTAGGGTTTCTGAGTTCAGGGTTTCTGGATGTTTCTGGGTTTAGAGACAGCTTCCGGTTTCAGGAGTTCTGGGTTTGGAGATTCATCAAGGTTTCTGGATGCTTCCGGGTTAAAGGGTTTAGGGCTTCTGGATTTACGGTTTCTGGGTGTCAGGGGTTCTGGGTTCAAGGGTTCCGGGGCTCTGGGTTTAGAGTTTCTGAGTTCAAGGTTTCTGGATATGTCTGGGCTTCGACTCTCACTCTCGCACGCAGCAGGCAAGGATCCTCTATTTCTGGGTTTAGGGTTGTGGGCTTCTGGTTTCAGGCGTTCTGGGTTTGGGGTTTCTGGGTTTCGGCTCTCACACTCGGACAATCCAGGCGAGGCGAATGATGAGTCAACGTCAAAGTGAAACAACTGCACATGCAAGCTCAGCAACACGACGAGCCCTTAAGATAAGGAACTTGTAAGAGACTTCCGAATCGCATGTGCCAACTAAAGTCCGCGTCATCACTGTAACTAGTTCGCAGACTTCAGTCACTACGCCGAGGAGGCAATAAGAGGGCCAAGGGTAAACATGTGGAGCCTAAAGGTCATGTTGAGCCGGGATGGCTCAGGTGTACAAGGTGTCCTCCTTGGTAACATGTGTGAAACTTAATGCTGCAAATGACATACAGAGATGGGGGCATACGCCACAAGACAACCTGGAAAGCTACAGCGTTCCAAATTACATGCATGAGTTCTTGAATTACGCCTTCTCATGCAATGGTGTCACTGGGACTCAGAAGTGCTCAGACCATGTAAATTGTTACAACCAGTCAATCGCCAGCTTGGGCATATGGGGCAATCATTACTACTTCGTCTTCATTGCAGCAGTCGTCTCGCCGCAAGTGGTACAGCCCACATTTACACCAGCAGCAGCGATTCTGGTATAACCACTTCACGTGGCACGTTGAGCGCACTCACATAGTCCTCAGGATTCCCGCTCTATATGAGCGCTTGTTGAGGGCCATTCCAGTTGCGCCGAGACAAGGCTTCATAAGCTCGCTATCCCACCGCGACAAAATCATGTAAACGTGCAGTCTCACTGGAAGTAGCCTCACTGGAGGGAAACCCATCATCCATGCATCATGCAGTAAAGTCATTGTCTCCCATATTTCCACGAATAGCATCCTCACAGTGGAAACTGATCGCGAGCCATGCAGTAAAACAAGCTCACTTGTGCATCGTAGAGCCCATGCAAAGATCAAGTCATGCAAACCATGCATTCCCACCAATTCGTATTGTGGATTCCCACCAGTGTGTTTTGCACTCGTCCGTTCATGCACTCGTCCGTTCATGCAGCGGGATGATTCGCTCTTTTGGCACCTTGTCCAGCTGTCGCAACCCATAGTTCGTGCAGTGTCCCCTCTCCATAAACTTCCTGCAGAGCTTCTTCCATGGCGGCAGCAGCAGCGAGGGTTAGTGGTTTTTAGGGTGTGCCTAACGCCTATTTTGGGCCACATGTTCGATCTAGATCCCTCCAGGGCAGCACCATAATGTCACCAGCGGGCAAACCAACCATCACAAGGATTAAAACATGCTAAAAGAAGTGAGTATTATAGGGCTCTGAGGAGGGTGGGAGAGAGAGAGAGCGGAGACGAAATCTAAACACCTGAATCACCGTGTTTAATTTACAGCACGATGGCTTCGACAGACTGCTCTTCGCTGAAGGTGGAGCCTTTGGCTCCGTTGCGTCTTGCACACAACATGCCTGGAGTAAAAGGTACGCTGAAAGCCTTTAAGGTCCCATGGATAAACCCGTCAATATGACAGTTTCCTGTGACTCCAACCTATGAGGGGTGGGCGTCAGAGAGTCCAAGCAAGTCTCCGGGAGTTCGTCATCACTATCAGAAACAGTCAAAAGCAACGGTTTATCGTGTTTGAGTTTGCCGACTTCCCAGATCCCTGTCTTCTTCTCTGTACCGAATGACAAATGTCGCTGTGACAACTGCCCCGGTCCCAGCGGTTGCGTGGCATGGAATTCGCACTCGAAACTATGCGGGAAAATAAATCCAACAGCCTCAAGACACTCGCGAACACAGGCAGGGGCCGATGCCGCTCCCATTACGGTGAAAGCAACCATTACAACTCGTCGCTGGGTCCAGGGTTCGGTGCAGTGCAGCAGCGTCTTCCCAGTGAAACGTAATGGCTTGAATGGGGACGTTTCTGGGTTTAGGGTCGCTCGAAGCTGAAGGCTCCCCACCAGGTTTAGGGCTTCTGGATTGAAGGTCTCTGGGTTGAGTTCGGAGTTGCTTCAACCTACAAACAATAGTTGTCTCGCAGTGAAAGTTTCATGTGCTGAGATTTAAGGGGCCGAGGGTAACCCGACAGGACAGCCGAAAAAGCTAACGAGGTTTGGTGAACCCGGCAGGAGTTCAGAAAAGCATTTGGGGGGGTAGACCCCCCCGCCCAACAAGGAAAAGAACTTGAAATCCACGTGGATTAAGGTGCCCCCCCCTAAGAACACGACTCTTCCGACAGTAGGCGGAGCTCCAACGAAACAGTGGGAAAGATGGATACATGATACGAGCAAAAAAGTTGCTAAATTGGTAGCCCCCTCAAACAGCATCTTCCACCCACTGCCTGCTCAAACTTGCGTCCGCCGTCTCGGCATGCCATGCGCAATTTGCCCGCGATGAAGGCGATGGAGCCCTCGTGCATGGGAACATCTCTGCGCGTGTGGAAGACAGATTAACTTTACACAGACCCCTGCGCGAGCTGGCACAGCATGGCGCAGCATCACCAACCTAGCCTTGCTTGCCATACCTCCAAAGACATCTGACATCGGTGTGACATGTCTGCTGGGCTACATGGCGAGCCTTCCGAAGCTGTTTTCTCAAGGTTCGATGAGGCAAGGTGACCTATGCCTACTCGCATGGCATGTTCAAGTCCGCCTGGTCGCAAACGCTGATCCCGACTTCGCAGTCCTGAAGTGTGCAGTCATCCTCCAGTGTCAGCTGGCCGCCCATGTAACATATACATGCGGTAGTCGCCTTAGAGCATCTGCAGGACCCCCTTCCAACAACGGAAATCTGAAAAGCATACAGGCACTATGACTTACCTGGTTGCGCACAATTGCTGACACTGCAGTCAAAGTATCATGAGTGACTTCCACACGTTTCAGCATGCAGTGAGGTTTCACGACACCAGCGGTGAAGGACGCCGCATCAGGCCCGACAACAACTCCAAATCCTGCATGACCCTGCTTCATTCGTATCTCACAATCAGCCACAAGGCAGATGCCTTTCTGAACCCGCAGGACGGAATCACAGACGCCGGAGGGTCTGGCAGCAGTGGCTCCCGAGCCACTCAAGATACAGTTTTGAATCTCAACACAACCATCGGCGTCGAGCGCGACTTCTAGGTGTCGTAGGCTAAGCATTGGCAGATATGCCCTCCACTGGCCGGGAGGTTCTGGAGCCTGCCAACGCGAACCTGCCAGGAGCTCACTCAGCATGGCATTGAGACTCTTTGACACCTCATATAACAGAAGCAAAACTTTCAAGGCACAAAGCAATGATGAACTCTCGGCAAGAGATACGAAGCTCGATTTCACCTGCACCAGTCAAGACGGGCAGCGGCAGTCCGATGATCTTCACCGCCTGAGACGAGCAAAGCAAGAGGGTCTTCAGGGAGTCTGGCGAGCCCTGCCCATCGAAGATTTACAAGGACAAGGCTTTTCGTCTGCGCGGGCCTTGCTAATACACACACTCTGCTCGGCCGTCGAATGCTGCTGTGCGGATGGAAGCAGCGCAATCAAGATGTGCTGTGGCCGTGGCACCTGTGCCGGGGACACTCTCAGAGAGGTCACAGTCGTTCAACGACAAAACACGTCACACTGTGCGAATGGTGTGCTCTGATCGCTGAAACCAGTCGTTGACCAGCCTTTTCGCTCCACCGCTCTGCTAAAGCGACAGCCTGGCAAAAATCCTCGACCACCTGCACATCTTCCTCCACGCTTTTCAAGCCGCCGGCATGCACAAGACAGAGCCATGCACCTGCAGCGGAAGAAATAAGCAAATGCAGCACGAGGGGATGGAATTGAAACCTCGTGTCCGTGCCTTTGTTCTCCTGCTGGTAGAGCAAGTCCAGCCAAGAGCGGCATGCGCTGGGAAGTTGAATCTGGTTTGGAAGATGCAATAGCTCCTCTGCCAGTGGCAAGCCGCAGCGCAGCCTTGCGGCTAGCTGCACCACCGGCATCTCGGGCTTCTCCAACTCTGCTGTAGAAGATGAGGTGCCCCGACGCCTCCATGGTACGGTGATCTGCTGGAAACCAAGACAGCAGCTGGCTATAGCTCGCAGTGCTGCAGCATCCGCATGCAACAGCACAAGGAGCCAAATCTCTGGTCGGAAGAACTGAATGAAAGCATTCCAAGAAAAATCTTTGGAGCCAGCTTCAATGATCTGCCCGCTCGCATCCTGTTGCATACCTCTCTTACGCTCCTGCGCAAAGAATTTCCGCCATTGTGCATAGGTGAATCGCCCGCCATAGCACTTCGCGTCAGTGTACAATGGACCAGGAGTCTTCTCCGGGAGTTGAGGCTTGATCTGTGTCTCGCCTGACCAGGTGCTGGACCGCCACAGGATGTCATCATCCTCCGGGATCTGCGACGGTCCTATCTGCCCTGGTTTGGAACCGCTTCCTGACATGTCCTGAGGCAAATCTCCGGCTTGGGCCATGAAAGAAAAAACGAAGATCAGGTCTCCCGATGAACAGTACGCACACTGGAAACTCCGAAGTGCGCATGCCTCGTTCAAGACGTACTGGCCATTTCTGAAGAGGTCCTGTGCCGGATATAAGCAGTGCAACACTGCTACGGCTAAAGTGGTCCGTGTCATGGAGTCATGCTCTTCAACTCGGCCCAACACCAACATAGAGCTTGGACAAAGCACCATGTCACATTATACCGGCAGAAAGCCCAGCCGTGGACATGGCGAACACTTGCTCACACGTCCCTCAATATCTGTGGAAAGACAGCGGGCTAACAGACGGGAACGCACGCAAAGCTCGCATGTCAACGCACCCCGCCACCCCCTCGGCCCCTCCCAAGGCAGCCGCTGAGCACAAGAACCCGCCGCGGACGGCCTACCTCCCAGACCACCTGCATGCCCTGCATATCATGCGGGGCGGACCCAGCGGTCAGACTACCTGCATGCCAAGAGCTTTGGGCGAACCCCCTCAGCCGGACCACCTGTGGACAAGTGGCCCCTCATTCAGCTAGAACTCCCGATGGCCAAAGCCATCTAGAGAATAAGCACAAAGTCAGCAAAGAAGCTTGTCGTGAAGCGTGCAATGCAAGCCAGGGTTGCCGCGAACTGCTTGTCGTGGTAAACACAAAGGCCTTCTGCAGGCAGTCCTTCCTGCACTGAGCAACGGCCACCCGCTTCCATGTGCAAGCAGCCAATCACGTTTGTGTTGGACAGACCTGCACGAGACCTGCTGTGCTGTCCAGCGAAGCCCAAACGAATTTGGGGAATCCTGCAAGAACTTGCAGCGAGTACCCACGTTCCTTGGCATTGACTGCGAGAGACAGGCAGTGCCTCCACTAGCCGGAGCAGGAGAAGCCTCAGGAAAGACGAAGCGTCTCTACCTTCACTGCACCTGCCCGGCATGCCTTACACGGGAAATCACGGGAACGACTGGTATGTGCTTCTCCAAGAGTAAGATGTCAAGGCAGGGACGGACCAAGAATTCTGCTTTGGACTTGATTGCCACTGTTGGCCCTGACAAGCAGTGCGAGCACGACATTTTCCTTGACTAGTTCTGGATGTCTTCACGTGTCCGCCATCCGATCCGTGGCCGTTCTCCGCATTAGCGCGCTCCCTCACCTCAAATGTTTGCTCGTATCGTTCCTGTGTTTCCCGCATTTTGCTGGTCTATCTCATGCCTGCTCTACGTGGGCTTCGTGCTCATGCAGTTGTCCGGCTGGACGCGTGCTGGTGCCTTCGTGCGAGTCTGACTCATGACTCATGACCATGTCTGAACTTCTGTGAGCATCCGTCCTTTGCGCCTTTGGCATGCTGAACCCCTAGACTCGAACGTCTCTATTCTCCGAATACGGCGTCATTCTCCTCTGAACTTGCGTGTGCTAGCTTCAACTTCCACTTCCACTTCCCCTTCGCCCGAAGCAGCTGCCCTCCACAACAACAGCAGAAGCACAACCACGGCCTGTGACGCATGGAATGCCTCGGTGCTCGTGCACATAGCAAGCACGGGCCTCTCTGCCAGATTCCGAACCCCCCAAAAATAGTATAGGTAATTATTAAGGCCCCTATATTATGTCGAAAGTACCGAAGTACTATCCTGTACTGAGCTCGACACGCTTCTCTTTGCTGGGCCTTTGATGCAAGCAGTCGTGAGTCCCGAAGTTGCAAAGTAGGATCGGATCTCTGCCGCACGACTCCGATCAATACGTCAAAACAACTCCTTCTTGAAGGAATCACGACACCTTCTACCAGGAAAGCTGCAACTGTGAAGGTGGGCTGGGCTTCTGGGTTTAAGGGCTTTCGACACTCACAACTCGTTCTTCGGTGGGCGTCAGGATGGCGGGGAAACAGCCCAAAGCCAAGCGCGCCTCTGGGAGGCAATAGGCCAGCTTCGGCCACCATTACCTGGTCGAACTGGCTATAGTACGACAATCACATGGAGAACACGAACACGAAAGAATGTAGTGGGATGTAGTGAGTAATAAGCGGAAAATCGGAGCCCAGCGCGAGTGCGACATCTGAGGTTACTGCCCTGAATTCCGGGTAGTTCTTGCAGAAATTCTCCAGATCATCGGGTGCTGGTCAAGGTTGCAGGTTTGGATACCCCGGCACACAGTTGCAAGGTCAAGGGTTCGCAGGCGCACATCGGTCGGCCAGCAAGGAGAAGCCCAAAGCAAGCTTCACGGCAGTTTCGCGGCCTGATATCAAAGTTGTCCTATCAACTCCTGTTCTGCTGCGGCATTTGCACGCCTTTCCAGCCATTCGCAATGCCAACTGCCTGAGCAATTCTCTGAAGGGTAATCGGCAACACTGCAAACATGTGCCTTAACTGGCATGCAAGCCACTGTGCTTGTGTCACTCTGTCTGCCATCATGCTACGGCCCATCCCGGACGGGTTTAAAAACCAGTATTATGCCGTGATCGACTTCGATCGCCTGCGGCTTCGCCCTGCGAGAAAATGTGAATCCCAATGAGCGACGAGAACATGCCGACTGAGTGTCAAGCCCATCTGCCCTGATTCGGGCAGGTCCCGACGCCTTCACGACACATTTGACATGCTATGTCAAAGCTGCAACTGCTCGTCGAAAGGCGAGGCTCCGACTGAAGCACAGCTCCTCGGCGCCTCCAACACTTTTGCGGCAGACGCTCTACAACCACACACTTTTTTTTGCTTCGGGACTCCATGGATTTGCCCGGGGCACAGCCGCTTTACTTTCAGCAGCCATGCCAAGAAAACAAACTCCCGATTTAAGTGCGGGTTCCGCGGCAGAGGTAGCACATGTGACCGTGACAACCTCATTATGCCAAACATCCGGAGGCCTGCATGTCTTATGGACTCCCCGATTTCCGGGAATATGTCCCACTCCTGGCAGCAGGTTGACATGCACATGCTGCGCAGCAGTTACTGGTAATATAGCTTTCTACCAGCGTTAACAGCAGCCGTCCGTATCGTGGTGTATCTCCACCTCCACACCTTTGGTCATGCACTGGTGAAGATGACTCGGCGTGCACAGGCCGTCGAACTTGACGAATCTTATGGAGTTGCTGAAGGCCGCAACTTATGTCACCCACAATCTCCTGCAGTATTGAATGTGCCTCAGCATGTGTCTTCGGAAAACGTGAAGCGTGCAAAGGGCAAGGAAGTTTAAGCGACCAGCAGAACTGAACACATGCATTGACTTGTCGTAGACAATGGCAGGTGCCTGAACGGAGCGAGGAGGCTCTCGTCTCTCGTTGGTTTGAATGCGTCCGGCGCAACTTGGGTGAAGTTTAGGACATGCGCACCTCCGGAGGGAATCCTTGTGTAGTCAACTGTGACTCCTGCACGTGCTGACAAGTCAAGATGGCTTCGAGAGTCGGCGGGCATTTCAAAAGTCGCCTGCTGCTATCACATGATATCACATTGAAGGCATCGCGAAGTCAGAGCCCCCGTTTGCAAACAACTTAAAACTCCAATGCAGAAGGATGATGCCGCAACGGTATTTTTGCGACTTACCTGGCACACCCGTAGAAACAGTACTTCATCCAGTATATGCACATCTCCTCATAATTGAGTACATACCTGCATATATGCCCAACCCATGCGAATGAATGAACGAATAAATGAATGAATGAACGAACCAACGAATGAATGAATGGAATGAACGGAATGAACGGAATGAATGGAATGAATGGAACGGATGGAATGGATGGATGGATGGATGGATGAATGATTGCATGAATGTATGTATGCATGTAATGCATGGATGGATGGCTGGATCATGGATGGATGCATGAATGGATGGATGGATGGATGGATGGATGGATGGATGGAGGGATGGAGGGATGGATGGATGAATGGATGGACGGACGGCGCGATGGATGGACGGTGTAACGCAGATGGATGGACGGCCGGATGGGTTTCTTGCATGTAGAAAAAAGAAAAGGTGCAGCTGTGCACATGTGCACGTCTGTAGGTATGCATGTATGCATGTACGAATGCATGTACGTAGATACAACTAAACACGAACACACACGAATCTGAATAGAAGCTTGCATGCACTTCTTAGTAGGACCACCTTGTGGAGCCTCATGCTGCAAACATTCTGTCAGCATGCTGTCGTTCCAGCACAACGCCAGCACACCCCACATTGCATGTCCTGAAACAGCTGCAAGTTGAAAACTCGAGGTGGCCCAGTGTCCTCCTTCATTGGAGCAGAGCAAGCTCGAACACAGTGTACCGTGCTCTTGGCTAACGGGTAGACCATGCCGTGCCCACTGCCAAGCATGAACAAGTCCCGGCTGTCCTTCTGCCCCTGCCCCTGTCATACACAATTACGCTCCGTGCTCGCAAGATTCCCTGCCAACATCAGACACCGTCTCGGCCTGCCAGGACTGCTGCTGCTGCTGCTGCTGCCAGTTCTGCGACTGTTTGTTGCTGAAGGCCGCAGGGGCAGCACCCTGACGGCAAGGGCTGTTCATGGCATGTCGATGTGAAAGTAGAAGCATCAACGACTGGCTCTCAGCGACATGTTTCCTCTCCCTTCACAGACTCGTGTCGGCTCTGTGGAAGATCGGTTGCAGTTATCAAGCAGCGTGTTGCTCTGCCGCTCGTCCTGGGGATGTTTTGGTACAGCATGCAATGGAGCTTTTGAGATCACACTCCCGCCCCAAGGTGTCGGCATGTTTTGTAGGGTTCTGGTGTGGAATCAATCCTCGGACTGCGCCTTTGCCTTGCCCCGCGCGTCAGCGCAACCTCGTCCACCATCTTTGCCGGACGGGCTCCGCTGTACGTGATTTGTCCCCACGGAGGAGTTGAGTGCCCGCGTGGTACAGCAAGGCAACGATCTTGTCCTGCTACTTCTCAACATGACAGGTGCCCCACCTGTTTCACTGAAGCAAGCTTCAGCAAACACGCTTCGACTTCAAGATTGTATTACCACGAACTGTTCACTTCGGGTGCCCCAGTCCTGCTGTTCTCCTTCGACCCCGCCTTGCCTTCCTGACCCTTCCCCCTTCCCCGTCTGGTTTCTGAGGGGAAGGGGCGTCGTGGGGTCGTGAGCGAAAACGGTTCTTTCTACGGCAGGAGCAGACGGTGGAGTGGGGTGGTGGCAAATCCCCCGCCACAGACATCCCGGCCTCGTCTCCGTGCCCTCTATAAGGCTAGTCCTAAGTACCTGCGACCACCAATCTCCCCCTTTTGCATCTGAGTGTCTGGATTTATTGCTCCTCTCGGGTATCTCGCCCCCTTTTCGGTTGGCAGGTTCAGGGCCCTTGGGTCCAACACGGCGGATGGAATGCAATCAACAATCTGCAAACATGCCCACGAACGTCGACACTGGTTGTACCAAGCACAGGCTCCGCTCTCCTTGGTGCTGTGGGAGCTCGACCTTACCTGCCTCCCCACCTCAGCCCTCGCGCGGCACCACCTGGCCTTCCCACCCCTCCCCGAAGCCTTGTACGCACTCTCCACCTGTCGCCACGATCAGAACAACAAAGGAAGAATGATCACTGAAGCGACACAGACGACCAAAGACACGTTACTGCACCTCGACCGCTCTAGTGACAGACATGGGTGTTGCGGCTCGTGGGCGACAGCACTGACACAAGGCTGCACTTCACTCCCCGGCTCCCCTCTTGCGAAGCAGACAACAGTAGCCACCGCACCGAAAGTAACCCCCAACCCCCCGAGACAGTCATCTGGGGAGCTCGGTAGTCGGCGAGGACGTTGAGGTAGTCGGCCCTCCCTGTCGGGGTCTCCGTCCCCACTGCCCACCAGCTCCACTTCGTCTGCCCAGTGCTCCGTGGTCCAGGTGTTGAGGTAGTGCATGGCGTTGCTGGCCTCGACGACCATGTCCCGCACAAGCAAAGGTAGTAGACGTCGCAGGTGCCATTTCGTCCTGTGGATGTGCAGCGCTTGGGGCGGCTGCCGGTCTCTCCGCTCCCCCATTTCGGTCCAAGGACCGCCACTCCTGTGGCCGCCTCCACCAAGGGATTGTATAGCTTGCCCAGGTCCCCGAGATTCCCTGCACCCTCCCCTGACGCCGTGATAGCCGTAAGGCTGGCTTTTAAGGCATCTTCAGCAGCGTCGGTGGCGTGACTTGCCAATTACTTGCTTCTGCGAGGAGTGCACTGCCCGCTTGGACTACTTCTAGCACCTCTAAATTGGTCTCCTTGTGTCGGAGCTTCCCCGGCTTGGGCTCACTCCTCCAAGATCGACTCTCGTAGTTCCCCCTTCCGGGTTGTGTATCTGAGCCAGTCGTTCAGCTTGTGTTGGACTCGGTTGCGGTGGGCTTCGGCTGCGGTCGTGCCCCTCTCCTGCTTGGCTCGAGGTAGTGGTAGTGGTTTCGGAAAATTCGCAAGCCGAGCCGCCCATCTCCAGTCCTGGCGCAGTGCCAACATATGCCAAGAACCCACCTCTGCGTTTCAGCTGTGCCGTGATCAAGACTCGAAAGTCATGGCAGGACCATGCTTTTCGGCTTTTGGCAACTCGTCCAAGGGGTTTTCGAAATCACGACGTTGGAACATGGCCGATCATGCTCCAGTCCCGCGCGTATGTTGGGTGCGACACGTCTCCATTTCACGGTACCTTGCATTAATCGGGCTCCCATACGCTCCAATTCGGGGGCGTGACTCGTGTTTCTGCCGTTTCCGCCATTCCAACAGTCCTTGACCCAGTAGAGGTGTGCCTCCCGAAGTCCAGCTCCCCCTACAGCAAACCAGTACATGCTCTGGGTGGCAAGCATGATCTATCAGATCTATGAGGCCGGGTCATACCCCGAAGATACCTTTCAGGACACAAGCAGATATAAGCAGCAATCTAAACTTGCTGCGAAACCACACGCCTCAGAAACCAATAGGATAATTATGCATACTGCATCATTACAACACGTCACGTTTGAACCTAAAACCTTCGCGAGTGTCGCCTAGCCTCCACTTCAAATCTCATTTACAGAACATCTTTGCTAGGGCCGACGTCCATGTGCTTGCCGCCGGCACCCACTCCCATGTAGTTGACCACCAATGTCTTTGAAGGGGCATAACCGCAACTCGAGAGCGGAGTACAGCACTTCTCTGATCACTGAGGTCGAAACAACACGTATGCACTGCGCAAGAGCAGTCTAAACATGCTGGACAAGGGACCTTCTCGAACTTGTGCAATGCGATGGGCACCTTGTGGTGCGGGGGAGGCACCCCTCCTGAGTGCCTTTTAAATCAATCATTTGCACCGGCAGGGGGACCCGGCTGCCCCCCTCCCCCAATTAAGTATTGTGAAAGGGCCAGATAGAGTCCCAGACACGATGTTGGCCTGGGTCATTACTACTTAGATGAATTGGTAAACGAGAACTCCCGCAAGCTCCACAGAGCTAGCTCTCGTGACGTCTGCAGAACAATCGCAATTCCAGCAACCATGACCCGGCATGGCTCCCAAGCTTGGATTGACATAGCGCTGCAACGAATCAGCACAGTCCGCATTGAATTTCTCTACGACTCTAAGAGCATGATCCCTGTGTCATGTTGTAGAATCGAAATCATGTTGGAAACGTACTCTGCGCACCCGAAGCCGACCTCCCGACATGACTGCTTAAACGCGGTCTCCCATCACTGGGACAGTGCTCATCTCCTTGAGACCGCCAAGTTGCTATCAGGTTGCTATCAGCACTACAAGTTGGCCCACGGTGTGACGTGCATGTTGGACTCACTGGGTGGTCTTGGCAGCCGTAGGGGTTCGCCGGGAATAGTTCTTGCGTATGTGGGGCTCGGACTGTTCAGTGCCCTTTCAATGTTTGGGGTCTGTACTGGTAGACTTGGACCTTCCAGGGAAGAGAGCGTAACTTTGGATGTGCTGTTTAGAGCATGGGTCGCCAATCTCCGTGGCACATGCCAAGGTGACTTATCTTCCAAATGAACGACTTGCAGCACCTTGTAGCCGGCAGGCGGTATCAGCGGCCTCAAAGATCAACCAGAACACGTGTCGCGCGTTGCTTGGCAGCTGAGACTGCCACCCGCCGCCACCGACCTCGCACTTTCGGGTTCCTAGCCTCTGTCCCCTTACGCCATAACTCAGGTGCTGCCATGAATCCTATTAACGACAAACTCTCGGAGCCTCACTGGGATCTTGCCTGGCCTGCCTTTACCATACACAGCAGGCGCGGGAGCAGTCCATTGACCTTCCGAAGCAGCTCTAAGACGGCTGGACCCGAGCTGACTAGCTTCACGCAGAAGGGCCACATGGCCTTTCCGCATGTTTCCATGTGCTTGCGCAACCGAGTCTATGTCTCGACTCAAATGGCAGCCGTCGCATGAGCAAGCAAATGCTGGCCACAGATTCCATGACGCCGGCGACCGAGCGCATGACACGAATCATGACACGCTAAACAAGAAGCACAATTGGGCCATTGGGGCGATTTTTGCGGCTCCTGTTTCTCAGCCGTGTCTGTGCCTCGCTGGCTCAGCTGTGCCTGCCAGAGAGCTTGAACGGCACGGGGACGATTCTGTGCCAATTGCATACATTCGACCTGCAGTTTTGCTGCCTCCAAGTCAGGATCTTTAGCTTGGCGCGCTTCCTCGTCTGCAAACCGTTCCAGCACACCACAATGGCGAAACATTATGCAGCATGCAGCTATGCACACTCCCTGCAAGCATTTCGACGACATCTTCCTGGACCCGTAGATAGATTGGATAGACTACACTACATGTCATGGGACACGAGATAAGCTTGCGAGACTGTCGGAACACTTGCATCGAATAGAACAGCGCAGCTGGCCTTGTTGTAAGGGAGAAACCACTTGAAGGAGTTGGCGAGGAGGATCCGTACCTGTGCAAACATCTCGCTCTTGAACGGCATGTGAAAACGAAGCAGACTGCTGGCTCTACGCGGACTGTTTGGGAGCGGACACTTGTCCGTCGCAGAATGGTGCACAGGTGTACCCCATCTTCTACAGAGTCTTCATACCTCAGCTGACAGCTGTTTGCAGAGCATGACACTTTTACCTAGACTTCCCTATTGTCAAGAAACGCAAAGGATTCAGGACTCTTCGTGGGCATTTGTCTACTTTGCTGGCTCGTCAAAATAAAGAATTCTCACCGTCTTCGTGATTTCCGAAAGATGGGTCGTGACGGAATCTTGGCGAAAGACACTACAAAGGCTACTGGCTGCGTACATCGGTGGCGCCGTCCTGTCCCTACCACACCTTGCCAAACCCTGGTCCGCGCATCCTCGGCACCCGACTCTGTCAGGTCTGCGGCTGCCAGCAGCACCTTCATTGCCGAGGCTGCTCTTGGATACCTGTAAAAGCCGCCAAGATCCGCCAAGCATGCACGACACGCCTGCCGGGTGAAGACGCAGCCAACGAAAAGCACCTGGAACCCATCATGCCACTCTGATTCGTCGATACATGTCCTCCGTACTTTACCGCTAGCACTTGCCTTCACTCTGCCTCTGCTTCCAGTACTATCTGCCTATCTGAACCAAGGGAAGTCCAGCTTGCTGACGAACAGGCTGGCACGAGCAAGGGCTGCAAGAAGCACCAGGCTTCATCTGTCAAGCGATCCCCCCAAGAAATCCCAAGAAAACGATATCAATCAATCAATCATGGTTGCCGAGAAACGATGATGCTCGTTCCGTCGCGGTTGTGTTTCGTATTGGTTCACGGGCGGAAACATACAACCACAGTGAACACCAACATGCTCCCCTTTCCTTGGAAGCGCTTTCGCGAAAGACGCCCATTCGAAAATGCGAGGAGTTCCGCCACTTCGCATCGAGGTGCTTAGCTTCTGTCTGCAGCCCATACAAGTATCGAATTCAACCACACATCGCAAAGCAAGCATATTGCGCCGGCTTTTGCCAAGGCGCAAGAAAGCAGTCAATCACCATCATGATGCTGACCTCCATTGCTTGCATCATGCATTGTTTTGGATGAATATGTTCGTGTGATGATCTAGGGGCATGGAGCAGACCGCGTCTCACTCAGGCTAGGTGCAGCAGTGTACCACAGCGGCAGTTCGGCCCCTCGCAGCACCAAACTGGCTGCCTGCTGCATGTCGAAAAAGCTGCGCTACTTCTGCTGCTGCCAAGAAGGTCTCACGTTCACGTGGGCCTCAAGGCCTTGGAAGGCCAACCCAATGGCAAGCAATAGAGACCTCGTGTGCTCACGGGTGCACGGCCCCAATCTGTGTTCGGACTGTGGCTGTCACAGGAGTGTTGATGCCAGAAACCTCGGCAAGCAGAGGAGGGATGCTGCACGCCTCCCGAAGTACGCACGAGACTAAGCCTGCAGCCGCAGGAAGATATTCCTCGGCAGGGGGAGCAGACAAGGAAGCTCGAGCTCTGCCGAATCTTTTGCAATCTACACGAATCCACACACTACAACACCCCGAAGACGCGAAGTCTGTTTTCAGCCTGGTCGCAGGTTGCCTTCGCCAATGCCTGGCTGCGGCCCTAACTTTGGAGAATCCAAGTAGCTCTTGCTGCCACGTGCTGACGTGCTGCAGAGCTGCAATTACCCAGCCAAGGGCAGTGATGATCAAATCTTGCAACACAGCGTCCGCATTGCCTAGGCTCGCGATCGATTTCTGTTCGGTCTTCACGGGCACACACAATAAGCGACCTGCCTGCAGTGTTTGCAGCGCCTGGTGCGCAACCGTCCGCACACTACGCAAGCCTTCTTGCCCCAGCCTGGCACAAACTGTCACGCCCGCCAAGTCTGATCAGATTACATTTTGCATCTCGATCAGCCCCTCAATGCAGGTACGTTGGGAGAGAAAGGCCATGCCTGACACTGGGGATCGCTTTCCGCTTCGCTTGACATTCCTCTCCAAGGGCCCCATGATCCAAGGAAGGAGAGCTGCTACCCACTTCCTGATGCCAAACCGGCCAACCTTGCCCAATCGTTCGGATCAATATCAGGATGCCAGAAGTTCACAAGTAACACTATGCGGTTGTTGTCGGAACGGTTCTCCACCGAATGCTCGTAGGAGTCGTCGAAAACAGTGCAGGCTCCCTCCTTCCAAGTTCGAGGTGGACCGCTCCCTGCAATGATGTGGCATCCGTCTGGTATGATAAGTCCCAGGTGACATGTCAAGCGCATGTTGGTGGGCCCACAGTGTGTTCGAAGACTGGTGTGCGGCTTCAGCAGGGAGAACAGTGCTTCTCCTACGCCAAGTCGGGCGCATTCCGCCACTTCAGGTCGGGATGATAACACTGCGGACGTGGCTGGGCACCTCAAACGGTTTGCGAAGCATTGTTCTGAGTCGCCAAGAAGGATTACCTCCTGCCAATCTCCACTAGCTATTAAACCTCCATCATGCACCGCACGACCTCCGACACGGCTCCAGTCGTTTTGCACGTTTGACAGTGCCAGCAGCTCCGCTTTGATTGCATCGTAGGCAGACTCTAACCGTCGGCAAAGCTCGAACTGTGAAGACGGGTACCACGGCTGCGACTTCAAGCCACGAAGGAAATGCCCGGGACGCTGGTACGGGTCTTCCCACAAGATCTGTAAAGATACGCACTTGTCTGCCCAAGCGCGACAGGCATCCAGGTCGCCCTGAGCATCCAGCACTCGATTCAACCAGACATGAACCGATGCGGCATCACCTTGTGAAGTCACATGGCTCAGTGCACGGGACAGATAACCCCGCGCGCGATGCAGCGAATCTGACCTTGCTCTGCCATCGAGTGTGCGAGATCGAAAAAACCAAAGTTCGCCAAGGGCACCCAGAAGCCCCACATCCAGAAAGTGCGCACCATGATGCGCAGCTTGGAAGTCCCATGCCATGCTGCAGCGCTGAGGGAAGCTACTTGCTGGTAGCCGGTCCCGCGAAGTTGCTCGACCGAACTACGCACTCAGCTTAGAAGGGTATCCACAAGTGCCGGGGCAGAACCCAGAATCATACCGCGCACCTCGCGCACCGTGCACCCAACATCCGGACCTACCTCTCTATTCAACGCACAGCACTCGAGCGGAAAGTGCCAGCCTCCTCAACCATGACACCCCACCACAACCGTTTTTCAGAAAGCTTCAATGGGCTGGCCTGCAGGATTCAGTTCTGCTTCCTGTGAGGACGCCAGTTGGAGATACCTGGAACTTAGCACCGAAGGCATTTGGGTATGGGGTTGCATGCGAAAGGACAGGGTACTCTTTCGGGAAGCTCTTCGCTGCGATGTTTGGCCTGTTGTGTTGGTCCAGCAGAGCAACGACTTTGGCTTGACGAAGAGGCCCCGCACTCGTCGGCATCTGCTGTGTTGTGGACCTGGTCGGCACCTCCGGCACGTCGCTCCCAGAAGGGAAAGCCAGCCGCGGAAGCAACAAGAAAGCATGGCTGAGCATCGAGCAGTAGCCGGGGTCAGACCAGCATGTCTTCCAAAAAAGCCTGCAAGATTGGATGCTTCCCGGCATCTTATTAACGTGGCCATGTGAGGTGCCTGAAAGAGATCACCTGCCCAGCAAGTTGAAGACCTGCTAGGCTTGCCTTCCAAGGCATGCGCTACAATCGTCAACGGGAAACTATGAAGAAGTAAAGATCGAATTTTTGGACATGATATGAAGCTTGTCACTCTCTCTCGAACAGCATTGAACAGCACACATCCGATATCTCAACAGCCAATACTTGCTGCAGAATGCAGCAGTGAGTCGGACCTTTTGTTGCTTATCCACATTGATCCAACAAAGAACTTCGGTTTATGCTGCGAGCGATGAGCTGGTTTCACGCAGCGTGTTCTCTCGGCGCTGAGACGCTGAGGCCTGGAAGCGGGGAGGCTGTGCTCCCCAAACGGGACTCAAGGTTTAACAAGACATCTGCCTGCTTTATTCTGGCTGAGGACTTTGCGGCATCGAATGACAGGCACTGGAGGTACCCAAGCTCTCTCACCTGGTGAAGGCAAGCGGAATAGAATCCTTCAGGCCTCAACATCCCGGGGTCAAATCCAAGGCTCGGGCCAAGATGCACAGCAAGAGAAACAAGTTCAAGCCTGACGAAAGTCTGGGCAGCTTGAGCTGAGTCAATTTCCATCCCTCAGCGTCGATCCGTCACGAAGCCGTTCCGCGTTCCCACATCAGCTGCAGAATCGATCTTTCCGAAGCGCATTGCGGGTCGAGCTTTGGGAAGTGTGGACTTTCAAACGCCCGCAGCGATCACCTTCGGACTGGGCAACGCTCCACTTAATGGAGCTTCGCCGCCTGGGAGGACTCAAAACTTGTCACTTTCAAAACTGACTTTTTTGCAAGCCAAGGAGCATAATTCAGAAAAACTCGGGATCGCGGCGGATAGATTGACGTTTCCTCAGGCTCTGCTTGAAATAAGACAATCTACGGATTCGGGAATGCAAGTCTCAGACGAGTGTCTGCAAATCCTGCCTCCGACAACTTTGACTGGATTTCCTGCACAATCATTTTTCTGAACTTTCTCCACATCATCCAAGAGGCCGGCATAGGGCAGCATCCTTGGCCAAAGGCTTTCCGGATCCCGTGGCAATGACGACCCTGCGCAGCTTCGAGCTGACATGGTTGGCAGTTGTGCGGGCTGCTGTCCTGCCACCAACTTTCAATATTCTGTAGATGCCTGTCCGACGGCACTTCGACATCAGGCAGCAAACTGAAGATGCAAAGCTGTCAAGCTTGTGCTGGCAGGGAACCCTTCAATACATCTTCCGGACGCTCCACCTCCGACCAACCGAATGACCACCACACCTGAATCTGCAACGAAGCACTACGCCTCGAACTGAGCAGGTCTTATCGTGCAGGAGTTCCACGCGTAAGCTTTTACAGACAATGCGGCAAGGCTCATAATCAACTTGCTGGTCTCGAAATGGCAGCTCTTGAGCATCGGCGCGCAGAAGAAAGAGGCCTTGCTCTGGACCGATCTCCTCATCCTCGCTTTCCTGAGAGCCCGCAGCCCCAAAGCCGAAGCATGACCCGCTGCAAGCTAGAACCCAGAACGATCTAGAAATGGCACCCAGCCTGTCGGGCCTGGTCGAGAGCCGTGGAGTTCGTGTCCAAACCTTTTGCGAAAAGTTGGGTTGCGGAGTTCTTCCCGATTCCGCACAGCCTACTCAGACCGACATACGAGTAGGTTGGGAAGACCAGCGGCCAAATACGAGGTCAAACTTTCGGGACGTCCTCAGCTGCGTTTAACTAGGGCGACACGGCATCTCCAAGAGGACCCATGTGACCACGAGCCTGCAAGAATGAAACGAAAACATACAAAAACAACAGTGCACTGATTTTAACCCGGCCGCGCAAAGAGCCGGCTTCCATCACCAGTGCCACATCCAATGTCAAGCACCACGCCACGGTCTTCAGCCTCACGTCCCTTCTTGAAGAAGACCTGTCACGTCTCACGGTGGGTATCTTGTGGCTTTACATCCTTCCAGCCGGTTGACATGCTTCACACTCGTTGACGACTGCGAGAGCCTGGGCGAATGCGGCATCTCGTAGCCTCAACCATGCTCTCATGGCCAATGTCAACTGCAAGCCCGACGCACTCCAAAATGGACGACCAAGAGACGGATCCGGCTTCTGCATTGCACCACTGTCGTGCGATTGCCAGCCAAGAGTATACTCGATGATGCGGCTCATCTGTTTCTCGTACGGCTCAATCTTCACAATCCTTGTGCAGTCGAATCCGAAATCGGCAACTTCTCCATTGTGAAACCACGTTACACAAACCTAATAACAAGGCGCTGGCAGAGGAGTTGTCTTGTCTGTTCTTGATTAATTTTACACTACGTACGATGATGAAAAGTTTACGGGGCCTGCCTCAGCGGTTCATCAGCTGCACTGCGGGAAATCCAACATGAACATGCTGAAGGTGGATCTTTTGCCAGAGTGATTTCTCCCCAATTTTTGCTGAGTAACGCTCCCTTGTTCAAACGCATCAGAGCTTGCTGGTAGAACTCGTACGGCTGCTCCTCCCCGTCCGGGTTGAGATATGTCAAGACTTCGCTGGGAAGCCAAGCTGAAAATCCATCTTCTGCGGAAATCCAGATGACAACTTCCTGGCAAGCATGTGCAAGCAAGCACCAGGTGAGGGATTATCAACTGTGCTGTGCTCGCTGGGCAATTAAGCGGGACACTGTCAGCCCTGTGTCCGGGTCATCGAACTGAACAGTACCTGTCTGGCCAGCCAGGTTGGCCATACCACGTTCCCAGCGCACCTCCCTGCATGGGCAAGGATGCAAACCGCACTGTGAACTGGTCTGCAGACCCAGCCCACCTGTGATTCTCAATGGCGGACCGCAGCGTCGCCAAGTCTGAAACCCTCACCTTCCGCTCCTCAGCCGGCGCGTCGCCGGCATCCTCGCCCGTCTGGTCGTATTCCTTTCGACGTTCCTCATCGCTGAGGATACGGTACGCCAGGAGAACGTCTTGAAAGGCCACGGCATCACCTCCGGTGTCCGGATGCGTCTCTTTGGCCAAGCGAATGTACCTGGGAAAGTCCAAGGCTCACAGGCTGCATGGCTGAGCGGCTCGGCTCCAAAGATTATCCAAGCATCGCTTTCCTGATTTCTTTCAGCGTTGCATTGGGATCGACTCCCAAGGTGGCGTAGGGGTCCTCGGTCAGCGCTTCTGCTGAGTCTGACGGAGAAGCGCTGCCGCAACCTGTGCTCGGCGGCGTTGGGCAAGTGCTGCAGTTCGTTCGAATCAAGCTGCCGGTGCTTCGTCGCTCTCCTCCTCCCTCCGTTTCAACCAGCGTCTACGAAAAGGCGGCTCATCCGAGCTGGCAGGGTTCCCTCTTCTGAGACACTCCTGGGCTTGGGAGACTGCACACTGTTGCCTGCATCCTGCTTACGATCATGAGCGCGCACGGAAACTCTGCCAAGTGACAGCAATGTAACCCGGCACTTTTCCATCGAAACCAGGCCCCCAGCAGCGTTTGCCTTCGGCTTGGAACGCGACGTCCAGTGCTTCCCATGGGGTCTTCTTCAGATCGACCGGAGGAGCCTTGGTGCTATAGGGCCCTTACTGCTGGGCTGCTTGGTCACAGCACACGGTTAATGTTTTAAAGCGTTTACAGCACGTCATTAGGTAGGCAAGACTCCAACTCTTCAACCACCTCCGCCACATCTTCTACCACGTCTTGTGCCACTGCCCTGTGCGCCAGGCCAGCATGGCCTGAATGCCAGTCCTGGTGGTTTCGACATCAGACAATGGCACGGCTGGGAGGAGACAGTACCGGGCGTCCTTCTGCGTCCAGGGTAGCTTTGTGACGAAGAGCCTTGTCAAACCTTTCTTTTCTGCGATGTCTTCCAAGAAGCTACTGTAACTTGAAATATGAAGACATAGCAAACAGGCCCAAGTAGCCCAAGAACGGCAGGGAGCTTACAGCAATCGCGCAAAGCCGAGGCTTCCGCCGGCTCATGGCATTCAAAATTGCAGAGCTTTTGAAATGTGTGAATATGCTTGCCGCTTGCCAGGACTTACACTCTCACAACTCGGGTTCTGTTCCGGCAAGGGTGTGTCACCAAGTGCTGAGATCACGATATGCAGTGGTTGAGTGAGCGATTAAAACTACGTAAGACGTGACTAGCAGCAACTCAGACTCTCCTGCCAAACTGCTCTCCATGCTGCGAGCTGAACTGAGCACGGTGAACAGCGGTCTTGGCAAAACGTATCCGAGGAAGAGCTACCACATGGGGCCGCACAAGCACGTCTGCAGCTCAGCTGGGTTCCAGACTGTGCAGGCAGGGCGTCAGAAACACCATGAAGAGAGTCGTAGGCTGGGCACGAATGGTGAACGCACCACACAAAATTTCGCAAACGATGCCGCCTACTTGCCGACCTGTCGTGGCATCAGCTTGGTCAGGCATCGAAGGAAACAGCCTGGGTAATGAGCTGGCTCGGCCACTTGCTGAAGCTTAGACAGCGCTACGGGCGCCTGTGTTTGCACGGCCGTGCCAAGCCTGAATGAGCACTTGTTAGGTCTCTGACACAGCGGCACGAAACATAAGCTCCGGCAGCCTTCGCATGTGTCAGGTGTGCCATCATACAGATGTCCTTTCGAGTCAGCAATCCGGAAAGGCATCATGTTGCATGTCCAGCTTCGCAGGCGGTCCATGCGTCGCGTGAGGTCTTGCGGCCTTTTGCCTTGGTAGTCCTGCACATGGGAGGCAAGCAGAACAAGTTTGCTGCTGGACGGCCCACCTGTATGTCAAAAGCCGCGGGGCCTCCAAGGGCTCTCCTGTCAATGCCATACACCTCAGAGCCCAGCAAGGCCGAATCCGGCAGCATCCTCTCTGTAGTCGTATCTGCCTCTCGGGCTTATTCGCACGTGGCCGTTTTGACACTGACATAGTATGACATTCAAAGGGACCATGTCACAAGCAGGCTTCCTCTCCGGATCTTACGCTTAGGAATGCCCCAACTCCAGCCATGCATTGCTTTCATATCAGTCTCATCTGGGCTCCACGCCGACTCGACCAAAGCACCCCGGCCGTGAACGGCGGCCCAGTGGAGCGGCGTTCCTGCAGAGCACGCTTGTCGTGATCGGATGCCAGGAGCCAGATCTCACTCAGCACGAGGCGTCGCTTGACATCGACAGCAAGAGCATCTGCACCACGCCTTCTGATTCCGTGTGACAGCCCAGCCGTTGTTCCGGGTGTGGCACATGACAGCATGAAGCATATGAAAGCAAAGGCTTGCCTCAAGAGCATCTGCGTCGCAAGCACCTTTCCAGCCATTACCTCATTACCGGCCAACATACATGCACTGACCGGCCAGCCCAGCACTCCGCATGCAAAGGCCACTGCTGCACAGTGGAGCGGCCTGTGGCTGACGTCACGTCGACCCGTGCAGAACCGATCAGAACCGTGACATGTTTGCAGCTCAGGGGGCCCACGTTAGCCCGTAAGCGTCGGCAGACTTCACGGAAGCCCCTTTCAAATACCTGATGAACGGAAGAAAACATCCAGCCGTAGCTACTCCAATGGCAGATCGCAGAGGCACAGCCACTCCAGGATGTGAATGAAGCCGCAGTTCGCTGCATGATGCGCGGCCGTCCCACCCTGCCCGAACATGAGGTGTACTGTAAGCCTTGTCAGCAATTCAGAAAGGTTCCGACTCTCACCTTGTTTTGGCCTCCCGCCTAGCCACAGTTGTCTTTTCGCGATTTAGCAACATATCGACTCTCACTCTCGCACGCAGCAGGCAAGGATCCAAAAAGGGTAGGTTTGCTTAGGTGCTTCTCGAAATGCGCTCCCTGCCGCTACCCCACAAACCACCGTTGAGCTTGCAAAACGTTGCTTACCCCCTGCCGATTGCCGATGCACTGTCTTCCTGTCCCGAGGATGGCCCTGAGCCTGTCAGCCCTGAAGGCACGACACGGCACGACCCTGCCAGTGAGACCAACCGTAGGTGCAAACTCTGCTGCTCAGCCTCAGCATCACGTGCAGCAACGACACCATTTTCGTGGCCTCGCCGGGACAAGGCCATTGACAACAACAGAACGAGGGAGGCAATGACCGAGGTGCAGACGCCACAACACTGCCAAGGTTGACCTCGCTCAAAAACGATGCGAACAGACTTACAGGATAAGCCTGGAGAAACGACTAAGACTTTGACAGTCTGCCGTTCCGCGTCGCAAGGTGCACGGCCTCTGGAGATCCCCCACTCCGGAAATCGTACGTGATGGAAGCAGAGGCTGCTGCTTGGAGGCCCTCCTGGTTTGCCTGGTGGACGCTTGCCCGAGCTCCGAGCAGGTCGGTTACCTAGGCCGTTCTTAGTTTCTGGCAGGGCCACGTATGTGTTGAAGCGATGAAGATGGAAGACGGTCCAATCAGGGGTTGACGAGACTGTGCGAACCATTCCAGGCCTGGCAGAAATCATGTGCACACATCATCCGGCCTTGAAAATCGGCCAAACGACTCGGTCCGGAACAGCCCAGTGAATAGCTGCATTGAAGTTGTCGGAATCCAACCTGGGCGAGGGGCAGCAGTGCCTGGATGTTTGACTTGACACAAGCGGACGCCGAGGCTCCTTCTCAGCTATGTCCACACCCTGCTCTATCAATGCCCTTGCAGCAGCGAAGTCCTCGCAGCCGAAAGATCGGAGATGCTCGGGGCAGAAGCTCAGAAGTAAAGCAAAGATGCCTTATTGCGGCAGGCGCTTGCCAAAGCTCCACATTGGCCTTCAGGAACGCACTGAAAGCGACCCAAGCGACCCAGCATTGGCTGTGAGCATCAAATTTCATGGACCTTTGCACATCTCCACCGTTTCCACCGGCTGCAGCTCACGCGAGACATTCTCATCTGCGTATGGAAGCATCGGCCAGGGAACACCAGTAACACTAGCACCTTGTGTCACATACTGCTGCATTCGACGATCTGCTTTCTGAAGTGAACGACCACTGTGCAGTTTTAGCGCGGACAAACGGTCAGAACAAAGGGACATGCTGGCACAATCTGCAATGCTTCTGACCGTACTGTTGCATCTACTACCAGCAGAGCTGCACAACATAACATGGTAGACTGCGGCTGGTTTGTGCATGCAAGGCCGGCACCGCAGAGCCATGCCAGCGGCATGGAGAGGGACTACTTCTTGCATCCGAACTGTGCACCCTTCTTTTGCCGGGGACTGGCGTTGGAGGGGTCGCCTGGCCGCTGCAGTGGCTTCTGCTTCGATCCGGGAATGTGTGCAATCGTGGATTCCTCCCGCTCGAGCACGAGAAGCAGAAATTTCAGCATGTTCGCCTTGCAGAAGATTTCACGAAAAGCTTGGTCGCAGATTTGCCTGACGTGTCACCTCGCCACGCCCCATCACCCAGGAACAAACTTCTTTCCAGGGGCCACTTTGGACGCACCTTCCGAACAGAAGTTCTGTGTTACATCTTCGCAGTTCACTCTTATCCGGTGCTCCTGGAAAGCAGCTGCTGCCGGTTGGAGAGCAACACGCAGCGTCCTCCCGGCCTCGTTGTCTTTGCAGGGAGAGCAGAGCAAAGCCAAGCATCTCAAGCCGATCTATGAACCCCGCCGCAAGATCCGCTCGGCCAGCCGCAGGAAGGCCATGTAGGACCTGAGAACTTGCGCCTCCGAAGTATCCGCCCTGTCTCGATACAGCCCGAGCCAGAGGCTCTTTGTCTGAGCTGGCCTGGTGCTACAACTGATCATCGCGAGCATTTGTAGTTGGCTAAGCGGCTGACCGCATGCAAAACCACCCTGCCTTGTGCGCGGCCCCGCTCGGCAAATCACAAATCAAAGCATCTGCCTCCCATTGAATGCGATGTTTCCTGCATGGGCTGCCTGTGACCTGCACAGCCCTCCCTCTCCACTCTTGGCCATGGACCGATGCATCAGCGATGTCAGCAAAGGCCGAAGCATCCTTGCAGGCAGGATTAGCAACGAGAAGAACCGACGATTGAAAGGCCCTCTGAGGCATTTCAGCTCCGAGCCCTGCCATCGCCCATGCGTATGTCAGACCTCGGCACCGACCCACGAGGCTCGCGCAGCTCCCGTGCGATCAGTCCTATCTCGCTACCTCGGCCCGGCGCGCATCCACGCAACAAGCCCCAAAATTTGACAAGCATTTCCTCGGGACAACCAGGAAGGCAGCCAGACAATGGAGCCAAGCACTCTGCAATAAGCGTCGCGTCTAAACAACCGCCTGCACCTTCCCCTAAACTGTATGACATCTCCTGCTCCTGCATCCCATCCCTGGGGCTGTTCAGCTCAGGAACTGCAGCTGACTGCTGCTCGTCTCGCGACCTCTGCTCACATGCAGTCGCACGATGTCGCACGACACATGTAAGCGATGTAAGTCTTCAAGTCATGGGGTCGCTGCCTACAAGCCTCAAGGGACGCTGACCTCAGCTTCGAGTCTCGCACAAGAGGTGAAGCCACACGGGAGTTGAGCCGCCAACTGACTTGGGGCCAGATGCGTGCCGCCGCCTCAAGCAGGAACAAAGGCGATGCAATCGGCACTTTGCTGACACCCGTGCGAGGCCGACATGCTCCGCAGTAAGGACCTAACGAGCAGTAGTGTTCCCATACCGCATGTAGGGTCAACCTGGCATGAGCTGCAACAGAACATTGATTCCGTTCCTGGGATCCCTCAATTTCCAAAATGTGGGCAGCCGACCACGATGCTTGGCCGAGTGCCCTCAATTTCAGCATCCTGGGAGTTGGCAGCCGTCGGTGTCTCAAGGGTTGAGAGGACGTGAGAGGACTGCTGTCCACGAGCCCGGCAATCATGCATTCTGCAGCTACTGCGGCCATGGCCTCAGCAGGCACCAACGGCACACAAAATCGCCCGGCAAGCCAATCGGACACAGTGCAATCAAAGAAGAAACAGAAACAGGCCCCTTTCGAGCTTCGCTGAATCTTCAGCAGCTGGTACACAGTGAGAATGGCCATGCTCTGTACGGCTAAGCGACTACTACCACTCAGTCTGTGTATGTCTGCGTGGCGGCTTTCCTCTAACAGCAGATGGCTACCCGTCATGATTCCCTAACACGTAAGTCTCGCAGTTCGTTGAAGTTGCCTCTTGCGTTCTTTGCTGCTGGGACTGGTAGAGGACAAGCGAGAAGTGTTCCGACTCAGTGAAACGCATTTGCGTGCAGTGCCCCTTGCTGTACACTACCACATTCCCCGCAGTCACTCTGCGCAGCCTCTTGCTGTTCTCCAGCGCAGGATCCAGGAACAGAGCGCACCCAGCCAAAATTGGACACAACACTCGTTCATGCACACATTGCACGTCAAGCTATTCCACTTCCTGCCAGAAGGCCAGTCCCCACCGACCCAAGTAGCTGATGTCTCTGGCCGCGTTCCTCGTGGAGCTTAGCGTTCTGCTGGGTTCCTCGAAGGCCTCTGTCACCTTGCCTCCTTGTGCCTGAGTCAGTGCTCAATGCCGTCTTTGGACAATCAATCACATGACATATCACATGCATGCACATGCATCTCCATAGTCTGTACATCACTCGCTATTACTCTAATCGCATGTGTTGCTGTCTCCAACGGTCTCTCTCGCTTTGCACGCCTGTACTCGCATGTTTCTCCGCCGAACCTACCACACTCTGAGCTTTGTGCCAGCATGTGCAATACTATTCTTCGACTCTTCGGGCGTATGATGCCTTGCATTTGCAGAGAGACAGAACGGAGAGAGAGAGAGAGAGCAGAGCCCAGACGAAAAAGACGGGCAGCTATGTCGAAAGGAAGCAGCGCAGAAGCGAACCAGCGGTGCATCACCGAAATCGCCACAGAAGCGGGTCGACAGCCGAAAAGAACTACAACGCGAAACTGTGGCACGAAACACTGGCCTTCACACTGTCTTCCTCCAAGGCAGCTGTTGTCTCGGCAGCCACCCATCGCCGATGGCGAAAGAAGCTCACAATCGTGAAGAGCATCAGTGGCATGTGCACTGGCACGGTGAACTTGAACAAGATTGTCCCCTCGGCCAATCCTAGCGCAAGGCCTTTAGAGTTCAGGTTCAACCACTTCGTAAGCATGCTCCAAGCTCGATTGGAACCAGCAGACGCTGCCAGTTTGTCCGACAGCTGCCAGTACTTAGCAGAGGTCCAAGAGTACCAGCTAATGGGTTCTCGTCTAGCAGGAACCATTCCCAGCTTCTGCCGCTCTTGTGTACGGAGCAGCTGCCAGCCCGCCAGCTTCCAACTGTAATTGGCCGCATGGTAGCGATCTCTGAGGACTCTGGCGGTCGCCCATCCACTTGCCAGACCGTTTGCAAGCGAGCTCCTGGAAGTCTTTGCCTTGCTGCGGAGCCTTTTCAAGATCGCCGTGGCAGTCCCCTTGGCACCAGTCACTGGCCCTGGCCCTGGCCCGGCTAGCACAGTGCGGCGTAGCGGCTCCATCTGGCTCTGGCCCTGGCGTCGGGACCGCGCCATGTCAAGCGCCTCCACGAGCCACAGCCGCTTCCTCTCTGAAAACGTCCGTGCTCCGCTTGCTCTTCCGAAGAGAGCCTCTCGTCTTGAAAGAAAAACCCTTCGTAAAGGTTGATAACGAACAGCTACTGCCACAGAAGCCGCCCATGCACAGTACTTCGCTCCGAGGAAAATCGCGGCCACTTTCGGAACATCTTCAGCCTCCAGGCCACAGGACTGCAAATAATTCGTTAAGCGCTGCCCAACCATCGAGAGGTGCCTTGGGCAACACTCTGCCAAAAGAAGTTTGAGTAATCTACCTAACTACTGCTCATGTTCGGGCCGCTTGGCGCACAGTTCGGAGTATTTCGGCCGCGGCCCCTTTCAGTACTAGTGGCTCACTCCCTGGAAGCCGAGAATCTGAGGGACTCTCTCCTGCAATCTGTGTTTGCATCCCCGGCCGAGCGAGCCGACCTTAAGGCAGAGCGGGGCGCGCGGACCCGAACGGCAAAAACCAGCAAGCCGGACTTGGAGCCCGCACTCCAAGAAAAAGGCAACGCGGGGCGCATTTCTAGCTCCTTGACCTCGCATTCTCCCTCTAAGTCAACTTCTTCCAAGAACACGAAAGAACCTCAACGCCGAATGCCACATGGTCGGCGGCAAAAAACACTGTGGCGTTCACCTTTCGTGGCGCGATCGCGGCAGCGCCTCGCGCGGTTCAGGAACCTCTTCATGCCTCGGCTGCCGCGGCACGCGGCTCCAGGACCTGAGAGGAGCAAAAATTGCCAAAAAAGAGATGAAAGCAGTCAATTAAAGCACTTACGAGAATTACAATTTACAATGTCTCGTGCGAATCGTGCGCTCCGAAGCACCTACGACATGTCACGCCAGGTGCCGTGCCCAGGAGGTAGCACGCTCTAGACCGCTTCGCACGGCAGTCTTCAGCTTCACCCAGTCCTTATAAGCTGCGAACTTGGCCAAAGCCTTGCAACTTCGCGCGGTACTCAGCTGGGTGAACCAGCCAAGCATGCCTACTAGTCAAGGCACTACATGCTTGGCTTCGGGCCGCACGCGGTCCGAAGGCCTCTTTTTCAGCGCCACTGTAATTCACACCTGGTAGGGCTTGCAAACGACGCGGGACCAACGGCACGTCTCCTGAAGCCCGCGCGACACTGGGCAGTGAAGCGAATCTTGCGGCCAGGAGGATTGGCCCCTCAAGTTGCATCGGGTTCAACAAATGCAACCGCCTTGAGTGAAGACGACCTGAGATGCCTGCCAGGGTCATCTGGGTCTTCTGCGAACCGGGACATGAAAACGGGAAGCCTCGAAGAGAGGACGAGGAACCGCTGTCTGGACAAATGCCCTAGCTTCGCTCGTTTTGAAACCCCCAGGTGTCGGACACGGATCGCAGGCGAGCGATGGCAGCCCGCTCGACACTCCGAGCCTGGCTGCAAAGCTGCGTGCTCTTCTTTCTTTCTGCTGGGCTTGCGGGTCGCTCCGCGACCCTCAGGCCTTCGGCCCGCCCAACCACACAATGCTTT